TCCTGGCAGCCCCCAGCAGGTCTCCCCAGCTGGAGCCTTCTCCTCTGGGGCTGCCCCAGCCCAACTCTCTCCTGCTGGGCTCCCAGCAGAGGGGTTCCCCCCTCGGGGCATTGCTGGGGCTCCCCTGGCCCTGCTCCAGCAGCCCCGTGGGCAGACATGGGCATGGAGAGGAGGAGATGGCCCCTTGGCTCTGCCATTGCTCTTGTGGGATGTCTTCTCCCAGTACAACCCAAATCCTGAAGTTCTGTTGAGAATCTGCTGCCTCCTCCTGTGTCTCTAGATCCCCACACCTGCTTCTAGCCCTCAACATTCCCCCCAAACCCTCGTGCCTTTCCCAGCCTCATTTCTAAGCCCTTTTTGCCTCAGTTGGACTGAGCACCTCTGTAGCCAAGCTGCCAACTCCCCCCCCACTCCATCCACAGGCTTCCAGCCCCCCTTTTTTCACCCTTCCTGCAAGCCAGACCCTCCAACCCCCTTCCCAGCCCTTCTGCATGAACTCCTCCACCTTCAGAGCCACCTCTTGTGGAGCCCTGGTCATCCTGACACCTTCCAGGGCTCAGGGAAGCTCAGAGTGGTGCGAGGAGGGATTCAGGAGGTCTGGAAGAGCTCATACTGCAGTGCAGAGAGCTCCCCACGGCCTCCAAGCAGCTTTTGGAGATGCAGAAGAGGCCAAAAAGGGGGTTGAGGAGAGTCCCTCTCCCCGGGGCTCCTGAAGCCCAGCTTGGCTTTCTGTCTCCAAAACGCTGCCACGTTTCACCTCCCAGCTCCTGAGCTCCCAACAGAAGCCTCAGAGGAAGTTGCTGAAGTGCATCACGTTCAGCAATTATGCTCTTGTAATTAATGGCATGACTGAGATGAGGCTGTTGCTTCCTTCTGGTCTTTGTCTAGTCGGATGAGGTGGTTTCAGTGCAAGAAGGTGGCTGTGGATGCTCCTGGGGATTCCCCAAGGAGGAGCTCCCTCCTCATCCTCTCCAGAAGGATTCAAACCTGCTGGAAAGCACCCACCACATCCCCTAACTCCCCGAGGGTTCAGTTGAATCCCCACTTAGAAGCACCTCAATATTTCCATTCAGGAGCCACCAAGCTTGGTGGAGACTCATGTCCCAGATGATTGACTGGGCAAAGGATTAAAATCACTTTACCTGCAACTTAGAGCAGGGATGTGGTTGAGCTCAGAGCATCCCAACTACCTCTCCACTGCCTTCCAGCTCTGTATCTCACTGTCTTGGTGCTCTGCTGTGCTTTGGGCAGGAGGAGAACCTGCCAACATCACCAAGGACACTTCAGCACCCACCTCCAGAAGAAGAGGTCCCAGAGACTCCTTCTCGATCACCCCTTGGCTGCTGGAGGAGATGTCAGACTTCTGGACTTCATCATCAGCTGCCTTCTCTGCAGCAAAGGAAAAGGGACATTTCAAACCCCCCCCAAAAAAAAGTCATTTTACTGCTGAATAATTGTCAGTAATAAAATATTGAGTGTTTGTCACACAGGCAGGGAGTGATGTGCACCAAAAGGCTCCAGGATTTTCATTTCATCCCTCAGAATTATGAATTTATAACCTATTATTTCTAATTATTTCTTAATTGTGATAAAACAAAGGCACTGATGAGATGACAAACTACCTCGAGTGGGAAGGCAAAGCCCATCTGAAGCAGAAGCTGCAGAAAGGGGCATCCAAAGTCAATGTTTTGAAAAGGAAACAGGACATCCAGTTGAGGGCAAGCTGCAGTATTTGATCTGGAACTTTTCAGACAACACTTGAAGAAATAACTGCTGGGAGGAATTCACAGAGCAGGGGCTGTGCCAAGGGAAACCTGCTGCAGGGGAAAGAGCAGCTCCTGTCCCTGAGCCCAGGATCCCAGCGTGGTGGGGCT